ATAATAAGCACATTATACATGAATCAGAAGTTAAACACATCTTTTTTTTTAGATGTTCAAACAGTTTCCCAGGGTGGGCAGAATTAAATATAGATGAAAATATTAAACAAAATCTCTACACCAATCTATAAAGTCAATAAAGTATCCCAGCATGGGGAAACTCCCATGTACAGGGTATTTCAAGGGTATGCCTGCAGGAGGCATTTCTCAGTTGATGGAACAAGTGTCCCAGGTACTTATTTGCTGACCAGTGGAAAAGCTGGAGCAATGAGTTTAGGATGTAAGCTGTTTGGGGCAGGGAGCATATAGCACAATGGAGTCCGGGTCCATGACTTAGGGCTCCTAGGCACTACACTGAAACAAATAATAATTAAGCTGAGGGCCAAACTGGCTCCTGGCATTCCTAAAGATCAGTGGCGTTGCCCCCACCGCCTCATGTACTCTGAGCACATCTTGACCAGAGCCAGGGATTGAGACCTTTCATTGTAATACTAATAAAATATATGTTGGTTTTACTTATTGCATTTGAGTATTATCTTGCTGTAGTCCTATGGTAGAACATCTTACATCTGAGTACTTTGCATACAAATCACAGTGGTATCTAGGCACTTCATACATAAGTAGTGTGCAAAATTCTGCTCAGAGTTGCAATTTTGCTCTGTTGCTACAAAGGAGATCCTCAGGGTTACACCAATGTAACAGCAGAATGTGGTCCTTGAATATGTATGTATATAGCTGACATTCTTCATTATGTAACTTAATCTGTTCTGTATTGCATTTGCTTTGATTTAATAAATGTGTTGACAGCATAAAAACAATTCCTGAACAGTGGAACTAATCATGTTAATGTAAATTTAAAAAAAAAAATCAATAAGGGGTTAGAGAGTTTTCACCCGAAGGGTTTACGAAAGGCAGGTCGTGCCAAACCAACCTGATCTCCTTGTAAACCCATGTTGTAATTTGTCCCAATTGCCATTCACCTCAAGGTCCTTAACTACTTTCTCCTTCAAAATTTTTTCCAAGACCTTGCATACTACAGAAGTTAAACTAACAGGCCTGTAGTTACCCGGGTCACTTTTTTTCCCCTTCTTGAAAATAGGAACCACATTAGCTATTCTCCAGTCCAACGGTACCACCCCCGAGTTTACAGATTCATTAAAAATTATCGCCAAGGGGCTCGCAATTTCTCGCGCCAGTTCACCCGAAGGTCATAGACTCAAATCCGTCACAGTTCAGTAGTTTCCCAGAATTGTTATCTGATGGCTACTGAGAAGAGTCTAATGCTAATGTGGACACGAGAACGAATGGATATAAACTGGCCGTGGGGAAATTTAGGCTTGAAATTAGACGAAGGTTTCTAACCGTCAGAGGGGTGAAATTTTGGAACAGCCTTCCAAGGGAAACGGTGGGGGCGAAAGACCTCTCTGGCTTCAAGATTAGGCTAGATAAATTTATGGAGGGAATGGTTTGATGGGATAACGTGATTTTAGTCAATTAGGCAATAACAGCCATCGCTGGCAAAATGAGGGTCTGGCTAGAGAATCTTGCCTGTATGCTCGGGGTTCTGCTGATCGCCATATTTGGGGTCGGGAAGGAATTTTCCTCCAGGGTAGATTGGCAGTGGCCCTGGAGGTTTTTCGCCTTCCTCCGCAGCATAGGGCAGGGGTCGCAAGCTGGAAGATTCTCTGCAACTTGAAGTCTTTAGATCACAATCTGGAGACTTCAACAGCAGAGTTAAGGGAAAGTGGGGGGGTCAGCTTTTGTGGCCTGCATCATGCGGGAGGTCAGACTAGATGACCATATTGGTCCCTTCTGACCTTAAAGTCTATGAGTCTATGAGTCTGAGTGTGAAACAACTAATTGGTCTACATCCATTTCCTAATGAATGTACAGCTACACTTCAAAGCTGACATCACACCTAGTCTTAATTTAAATCTTTATTAGCAGTTTCAATAGGGAGGGGAAAATCTATGAATGGGCACAGGGACTGAATTTACTTCTTACCATAGAAGTGATACCTCCAAAACAGCGTAGAGGTACACTGGCAGAGATCTTTTATGCTCATGTTATAGTATTCCGCTGTGGAGAAGTAGAGATCTATTGTCAGCACAAGTAAATATTTCTCCTTGTCATTTTTTAACTTGGATGGCTTCCTTTCTTCACTGTCTCTCTCCCCCACCACCAGCACCATTTACACTTACATAACTAACTACTTTACTGCTTAATGTATCAGGTAAATTGGGCAAACCTTACCTCCAGTACTACCTTATATTTCATGTAGATCATATTCTGTTGTAGTTTAAATGAAACATCAAAATAATGTAAATGCATGTACTAACAATGAAGTGGTTGTGGCTTATTGAAAGTGACTAGTTAACTGCCTGAATTCTTGAAACATGTTCTGCTTGTAGTAGCCAGATTAGTGATGTTAGCAGGCAGCAGTTACAACACATGACTTATTTGAAGAAGGAATAAAGCAGATTAGAAAGATTTGCTATTTACTAAATAAAAACAGTAATTCCTTCTATTCATTTAGAAATAAATATGAGCAAGTTGTGTATTAAAAATAAAGGTGTTCTAGCTGTAATTGCAAGTTGTAGTTCTGTGGAACTATGGGGGATTGTTTGTTCACGATGGAACATTGCATAATGGAGGATGCAAATCACTGTTGTCCTGTCCCTATATGATAGTCTCTCTCTTCTTAAACTTTCCTAAGATATGGGAATTACACACTTGATCTTCCCTGACACAACGTACTTAAGAAAGGCAGTGTTAGGTAATATCTCAGTTGTTATAGCTAATTTCTTTTGGAATAGGACATAACAGCCTGTTAGCAAAAGTAGAGCCATTTATAGCAGGAATTCTCAACCTTTTTCTCTGTGAGGCCTACCTCGACATGCTATAAAAACTCCAGGGCCTGCTGGAGTTGGGGTGGGTGGGGAACCTCGGGGCAGGGGCCTTGGGCATAGGTGTAGTTTGACTTCTATTTGGGGGGGGCAGGGGCCAGTGGGGCTCGAGCCATCTCCGCATGGCGGGGTGCAGGGAGGGAGCAGCACCTCCACCCCCGACTCACCTCAGCAGGCCACCCAGCCTGTCTGGGTTGGGGGGGTGGGGGCATGCAACCAAAAATTATAACTCAAAGGTGGAGGGCTTAGCTCAAAAAGTTTGAAAACAGCTTAGGGTGCAGGGAGGGGGTAGCTAGGGGCTGTGTGCAGGCAGGATGGTAGCTGAGGGTGCAGGGGGGTAGCTGGGGCTGTGTGCGAGCAGGGGGTAGCTCAGAGTGCAGGGAGGAGTGTAGCTGAGGCTATGTGTGGGCAGGGGGGTAGCTCAGGGTGCAGGGAGGGGGTAACTAGGGGCTGTGCGCAGGCAAGAGGGTGCAGGGAGGAGGGTAGCTCGGCTATGTGCAGGCAGGGGGTAGCTCAGGGTGCTGGGAGGAGGGTAGCTGGGGCTGTGTGCAGGTAGGGGTAGCTCAGGGTGGGGCATTAGGGACTGTGTGCTGGTACGACTCCCCTGCGGTCCCTTTTCCTGGGACTTATTTTTGGAACACAAATCTGGAGTATTTATAGGGTTACCATATTTTGAGTGTCCAAAAAGAGGACACTCCACGGGGGGTCCGCCCCCAGCCCCGCCCATGCCCCAACTCCACCCCTTCCCCAAAGTCCCCTCCCCAACTCCGCCCCCTCCCCTGCTTCCCGCGAACATTTGATTCGCGGGAAGTCTGAAGCAGGCAGCAGGTAAGCTTGGGGGGTGGGGGGGAGGAGGCGCGGCCCAGTCTGGCCCCCCCAACCGAGCGGCTCCCTCTGGCGGCCGGTCCCGGCCCCAGCATCTCCAGCCTGGCTCGGCTCGGGCCCTGGGGTGCCGGCCCCAGGCCAGCCCCCAGCCGAGCACCCCCGGGCCAGCACTGCCGGCCCCCGGCCCGGTCCCAGCCCCCGGTCCCGGCCCCCGGCCCAGCACCGCCGGCCCCGGCCCCCGGGCCAGCACCGCCCAGCCCGGCCCCGCACCGCCGGGCCCC